TGACTCTCTGTATAAATTGTCAAAATAACTAAAAACAAGAAGTTCATCAAAATGTGTTAAAAATGTAATGACGTGTTTCCTGCCTGAAAGCAATCAAATGAACCAAATTGTTCACTTTTATGAAAACGCTATATTTGAAAATCGATATACGTGAACCATTACTACTTAATGTTATTCTTAAATAATCTAATATTGTTCTGTTTTCTATCGTTGTTAAATGTTTTTAATAAATTTGAAAATTAATAAGAATTTTATCATAGTCGATTAAATGAGCCTGTGATTTTATTTAGAGTAGTTATGTACCAAATTAGTTTTACAAGGTGGTGAAAATCGGACCGGATATTGAACCGGTAGAAGGAGAGTTGAAGGTTCAAAGGTTGAACGGGGTTGAACCCGGATGAGTTAATAAATAAATCTTAAATGTATTTAAAAATGACAATACATAAGATTTACATCCTACTCAATTCATATATATTTAAAAATCTAATACTTAAAATTCAATTTCAACATGTCATTTTATCTATGCATGAAAACATATATTTCACTTTTTAAAAATTAAAATAATGATATGTTTTATGTGATATGAATAATTTTGGTGGTATGAATGAAAAATAAAAAGAGTTTAGGTGTTTGTTGGATATTTAAATAAATAAAATTATGTATGTAAATTGAATTTATTTATAATAATGATTTTTTTATGTGATATGAGTGATTTGGGTGGTATTAATGTAAAAAATAGAGTTTAAGTGTTAGAGTTTAAGTGTTAGATATGTTTAAGTGTTAGATATGTAAAATACATAAAATTGGGTGGTATGTATGTAAATGCCCGTGAACCGAATGGTTCTTTAGAATTGGAGCCGGTTCTGGCGTTGAACAACTGGTTCAACCTGGTTCTAGACGGTTTTATGTTGACCGGTTCACAGCCGAACAGGTCGAACCGGCTGGTCTGGTCCAATTTTCTTAAACCATACTTTTATTCTTAATGATAAATAACGTCCATACTAATTTCTAATTATTAATGCTTCAAAATTATAATGCAACTAAAGTGTAATATTTTGATATAATTTGCAAATACGAATTTATCATGCTAAATGTAAATTAGCTATTTTTTTGTCCGCATGTCTTTGTGAATCAGTTAGTGGCCTATAAATTCTTAGGTTGCAAATACGAATTTATCATGCTAAATGTAAATTAGTTATTTTTTTGTCCGCATGTCTTTGTGAAACAGTTAGTGGCCTATAAATTCTTAGGATAATTACATACAAATCACTCGAAACATTGATATTTACAAATTAACCAACTAGGTTATTTTTTTGAACTACCGAACCGATGTATTTACCCGCCACAATCAAAATATTGAGAATTTGATAAAATTGAAAAATATGAGTTGAGGTTTAACCATGTATTTTGATGTTTAAGTGAAAATTTGAAAAATGGATGAAAGAGAGTTGTTGATTTGTAAATAGCAAGTTTTAGGTGGTCTGTATGTAATTGCCCTTGAATTGTTTTATTATTGCTGTTAAATTGAATGATAAATTTAATATACAAGTTCATTTATTTTGATAATAATATAAATTTGTTGCTTCATTGATTTTAAGTTTATCTTTTTTTGTTTTTTAAGGAAGATTTTGTTGTAATTTTAATACCATGTAATTTAGACTATTATAAAACTAGCTTCGATTTTTAAAGATATATTAAGTTGTATCATGCACTAAAATTAAAGAAATTTGTTTACATATAAACTAATAAAGATAATTGACATTGTTGTTGATGTGTATGTAGGGTTGTAAATGAGTCGAGTTTGAGCAAGCCTAGCGTTTGTTTAATTTATGATTGTTCATTTTTTTTTTATTTGAACTTGACTTGTGTTCAAAATAGCTTATAATAACTTGTCCGTGTTCTGCTCGATATGAATTTGTTTGCTTGTTTCAGTTCATGTTTAGCTTAAATTTAGCTTGAATAATTAATTTCTAACAAATAATAAATTTTATTTTATTTTTTTAAATAACATACAAATAATATAAAAATATTTTAAAACTATTATTTAATTATTTAATCATTTGAGCTAGAATTAGTTGAACATAATTGAGCAAAGCTGTGTTTGTGTTTGACTCGTTTCTATGTCAAGCTCAAAAAAGTATTCATGATCAGTTTTTTTTGCTTAATGAATAAAATGAACCCAAGCTTTTTTGCTTAATGAATAAAATGTACCCAAGTTATCAACAAGCAAAATAGAAATTGTTTGCAGATGATGATTTTTTTTTATAGCCCTAGTGACATGAATTTTTTCTATTCTCATGTCTAGAAAAATTTAAAAAAAAATAAAAACTCTTAATACAGCCTCAGGAGCAGTTTGGATTGTTTTTTTATTATTTTATTTATGGTTTGATTTGAATTTAAATTGGATTTATTTCTTAAAATATTTTTTAATTAAATAATGAATGAATAAATTTATGTGGTGGCAACAATGATTGTTAGTGGTGCAAATGAAGTGGCCTATGAGGCAGTGATGATGGATATGATAGTGGTGGCCATTGGTGGCGATAACCTATGAGGCAAGGATGATGACGACGATAGTAGTGGCCAAACGTGTTTTTTTAGCCACAACGGCTAGAGGCGGCAGATGATGGCGGGCGAATACAATCAATAATAGTGAGATTTATTTTTATAAGTACTTATAACATTTAAAAATTAATTTAAAATTTTTTAAAACAATTTATTTTATTTTAAAAAATAAAGTATAAAATATGTGAAAAAAATATCGAACAAAGATATTAATGAAACTAAAAGAAAAATTAATGACAAAAATAAAATAAAACTGTTCCCAAATTGGGCTTTAATTTTCATTGTTCTTTATTTCTTTTTCTATTTTAGTTTAATAGAGCATCAATGTTATTGTCAAGAATTTTTTTTTTTAAACGCTTTCAACCCTGATCAGCTTTACAAACTAGTGAAGAGAAGCATGAAAGAGATTTAATTGAAATAAAAAAGCTTAAGGAAGCGACCGATTGGTACAAAAGTGTGCTTGGGTTTAAGACTGAAGGAGGGGAAGGTAATCACTGTTATGATTTCCTTTTTGTTTAAACTATTTTAAACTATTATTGAATTCTCTCCTCTCTCTCTCTCTCTCTCTCTTCAGGAGTTAAATTCACTTTTAACAAAATTGACCCAAATGATCAAGAGAAGGAGTATTGGTTTATTGTAAGGCTTGATGGTGGCATATACTCTTGTAAGTATAATATTCATAATTTTATATATTTTGGGTTACTCCTTGTTAATTTGATGCATTCGATTTGGTTGATGATAGTGCTGCATTGCAATCCGGAAGTAAATGATATCGATGAGCTGATGAAGGAATTGAATAGAACCAATGGTTTGTTCAAGTTTGTTAGAGATATGAGAGAAAAATTTCAGGAAATTCTATGCGCAGGTAAACATTATCCTATACACTATCAGAGAGCATTGTTCTAGAAGAAAGTTACTTGTTTTACCTATTATGGATTTTTCCTTTTAATTGTAATCTTGAAGACTTTTAGTAGGTTAAATAGGGGCTTCTGCAAGGTCATGTTTGATGTTGGATGCAATTGGGTTTAGGGTCTCCATGATGAGCCGGACAACATTACACGATTACACAAACTCTGCTATCCACATACCTTTAATTTTTACTACTATTTGTTTCTGTAGATGAAAAAATACGAATAACTTTAATACATATGATACATTAATAGCAATCTATTAGAAATAACACATACATACTAAAGCATGAAATGCACACGTATAATTGAAAATCACTTTCCAGTTAGAAATTAGATTGTATTCACTGAAATAACTTATTTAAACACAAATATATATATATATATATATATATATATCTAAGAAAAGATAAGGGCTCACAAAATAGTAGAACCAAAACTCACAATTGTGTAAGGAGAAAGTTTCCTAATTTTTTTTTTTTTCAATCACCAGTTGCACTGAAGTATTTGTTTTGTTGAAAAAATGCATTGTAAAAAAATACAATGTATTTGAAATATTTTTGAGTTGTTTGGTTAGGTGTATGATAAATACATGAGTTTATTTTTAATGTTTGGTTCGAAAAAAATTGAAATCAATATAAATCCAGTGGCGGTTGGTTGACGGGTGTGGGTGACGGTGGTGGTTGGTAAAATATGATGAACACCCAAATATTTTTAGGCCAGATATATTTACCTCCTTGCCACTTCAAGCTTTTTTAGGTAAGCTCTCATTCAAAGGTACCGATAGACCACCATTTATCAGGTAAACTGTAATATTCACTTATTATGTCTAGGACTGTTTTGGCAAGCCTGCATATAATCTCATACTCCTGACACTTTCTGTGATGGTCCCGATTCATGCGCTCAACCACACCATTTTATTGTGGTGTCATTGGAACGGTGAATTCATGTTTGGTTCCTTTTGAAGCATGATAATTTCTGAACCTCTTATCACAATACTCATCACTATTATCTAATTCGAGACAACTCAATCTCAAGCATGTTTCATTCTCAACCACGACTTTCCACTTCTTAAACAAATCAAACATATCAAAGTTATGTTTCAACAAAAACACCCATACCTTCATGGTGTAATCTTTAATGAAAGTGACAATGTATTGAAGGCCTCCAATAGACATAACTGGATTAGGACCCCATGCAACAATATGCACTAACTCTAATTTTTTTAACTTCATCTATGACCCACTTTTAGAAAAAATAATATTCTTTTGCTTGCAATAAACACAATCTTCACAAAAATCTTGATTTATAGATTTTAAATTAGAAATTTTGTTCTTAGAAAGGAGAGACTTCATACCTTGGTCACACATATGACCACTATAGACTTGCATCACCAATTGTTCTAACCACACCAATGGATTCAAACATCTCATTGATCAGGTAAAGAGTACCTTCGATGTTGTATCAAGGCATCACCATTGCCTCTTTAGTCGCCTTCTATTAATCACTTGTGAATGTAGTTCATACTCTGACCTGCAAGCTGACTCACTGAAATTAAATTTCTATTAAATCATGGAACATGTCCAACTTTATTGGCCTTCTAGATTGATTAATTTGACAACTTGATATCAATATCACCCTTTCCTACAATATTGCATGCTTTTTATCTCTCAAATATTCATTATTTAGATCACTTCGACTGTAGTTTTTAAACACCTCTTTGTTGTGACAAGAATGAAAATAGATTTTTGAATCAACTATCCAAGATTCAATACTATCTAGGGATAAAATTAGGGAGTCATCTTGGATTTCTTCAGTAGAGATATTTGTAGAGAGTTTTATATGTGGACCTCCACAACCGAGATTTCTAATAGATTTGTAGTCTTTCTTAAAATAAATTTTTTTCTCGCAATTTCAATATTCATCTCTACATTTTTTCTCACTGCATGGACTTTCCTCTACTGTGCTTGATTCTTTCCCTGCCTGTGTTTATATCCATATTAATTTCTCTGTTTTCAAGATTTAGAGTAGAATTTGAAGTTTCACCGGTCGCCTTCTTTCAAACTTCTTTATTTCGCACTAATCTGACAATTCATCAAAGTTTTACTTCATGTTATCTGAAATGTTGTTCACCACAGTGACTAGTCCATCCCAACTCTGACAATGAAGATAAAATTAACAACATCTTGATCTTGTTATCAAACTTGATGTTAAAATAACACAACTGATTAGCCATACATTCATATTATTATTCTTATCATTATTTGCTTAAGAAATTCATGCATCCAATAAACAAAATCAAATTTGATGTAGAGATATAGAGATGGAATATGAGCTTAAGCTTTTTAGCCATAGAGAGGAGAAGCTCTTGCGGTCGAAAAAAAAGAATGATAATAGCAGCAAGAACGTCTTCTTCTTCACATTCAGCTCTCGTTTTTTAGCAAATGGTTGTGATCCCTCTCTATTGAGAATTTAAAATTAGTATTAGAGAGATTAGAAAGGATAACAATTAGATGTGAGGTAACTTGATCTATTAAGATTATGTGTAATAGCTCAGACAATGCTCTACAAGAATAAATCTGAGGACTCATAAAGCCAATCCCAAATAGTTGTGACAAATGGTGATGATGATGATGTTGATTTATTCATATAGAAACCAATCCCATATGAGAACACATTCTATTCATATAGAAGCCTCATAGCAGGCTTGTTTTTTTACCTGAAGAAAAAAAGAAATAAAAACTAAGAATCAATTCATATGAATTGCATTCTCGATGGATACAATTTTTTGGATTTGCATCAACACCTATTAGACGAGAATTTAAAATTAGTTTTAGAGGATTAGAAACGATAACAATTAGATGTAAGATAATTTTGACTTGTAAAGATTATGTTTAATAGCTCAGACAATGCTCTACAAGATTAAATGAAAAATGTGGATTACCAATCCCAAATAGTTGGGATAAGGATAATGATGATGATGATGATGATCTGCTTATCCTAATCTATTTGCAGGCAAACCATAAGGAATTTGGTAATTTCTATTGAAGTAAATTAAGCCCCACGAGCCATTATTTATGTACAATAATCCTGACTTGCACAATTTTTTTAAATACTACCAATTGCAATATGCGACGTTTGAAATCTCTCTCTTTTGATTAGGTTGTTTGTTGCTTGATGCTTGAGATGTTATTCTTTCGCACATACCACTTCTAAAAATTTTTTCTTGATGTGGTTGCCAGCATATAGCATGATTTAGTTGCTGTCATTATCTTTTTGGAAATTGTGGCTCCCAATCACTGAAATATTATATGTTGTGTATTGGAAATGATTCTACGTCAATTTTTATAGTAGATCCTGCATTGATTGTAACCTCATTCACCGTGGTACACCATGTTTTATTGGTAAGAATTCCATAAACCAACTTTCATTAAATGCATGCCTTCATGTTTGAAGTTTACATTCATGGTGGGACACCATTTTTTATTAGTAAGAATTCCATAAACCAACATTAGTTAAATGAATGTCTTCATGTTTGAAGTTTACACCCATACAGACACGCATATACGTATACATATACATATACATATACATACATAAAACATGCATGCATACGTGCATATGCATGGAGACACCCGTGCACATATGCATGCATGTATACATAGATGCATATATACGTACGTACATACGTACATTCATTCATGGCTGCATGCATACATACATACATGCATACATACATGCATGCACGTACATACATACATTCATGCACGTACATACATACATTCATACACGTACATACATGGATGCATTCATGCAATACATTCATACACGTACATACATGCATGCATGCATTCATGCAAAAATACATGCATCCATCCATTCATGCATTCACACATGCATCCATGCATCCATGCATCCATGCATGCATGCATACATCCTTCCATACATGCATGCATGCATGCATCCATGCATCCATACGTACATCCATACATCCATGCATGCATCCATACATCCATGCATGCATCCATACATACATCCATATATCCATTCATACATTCATTCATACATCCATCCATCCATACATCCATTCATGCATCCATACATAAATACATACATACATACGCATACATTCACACATACACACATACACACATACACACATATACTCATACATACATGCACACACACACACACACATACACATACATATATAGATGGATAGATCCTGCATTGATTGTAACTAGGGCTCGTTGTTCGCGAACAGCTCGTGTTCTGCTCGTTAAGAAACTCATGTCCGAACACGAACAAATATTTGTTCTTTCGTGTTCGGCTCGTTTTGGCTCGAAATAGTACTAATTCATTATATATATGTATATCTTTGACGAGTAGTATTTTTAAAAAATTTAATTGACTGCAATACTACAAAGATTTATAATCAATTAAAAGTATTAATGAAGAAAATATAATAAAAATTATTAATTTAGATTCAAATGATCTTTTAAATCTTGCCCCATTTCTTAACATTTTATGGCTATGTGATTAGGGTTGTCAAAACAACTCTTTGTTCGTGAACGGCTCACAAAGCAAACGAGTCGAACATGAACACACTTTTTGAGCTCGAAATATAAACGAGCCGAACACGA